GAAATAGGTTCTTAAAGGAAAAATCTGAGATGGATTTGGAGCAGCAGCTGGAGAGGTACTGGAGGCTGCCAGGTCTTCTGACTGAAGAGAAGGATGAGGATCTTCTGTTTGGATGAGCTTTCTTGCTCTGGTTCTTTCTGAAATGCTCACGTGGCACTTTTAATTCACAGTGTGAAGGCTTGGTCCTTTATTTTTGCCCTAAGATGTGCATTTATGGGATTACCTTTTTGGAATTGTAACAGGGTGGTCCCCAGGAAAAAGGGAGGTTCCAGGTTCCCTGCCCCACCCAAAGGAGGGTGGAGCTGAGCAGGGAGGAGAAAAATCTGGACCAGAGACTAAGACGAAGTAAGCAGGATGGAGGCCAGGAGGAGACCTGAGGGAGCCACATGGAGCAGAGAGGTGAAGAAGCGGGACTGGGTGAGAGACCTATAAGGAGGTTGACTATGGCAGCGTTTATCTTGGTTTTGATTTTGCTCTTTTCCTCCCAGACTTGTCTGGTCATTTCTGACCCTTTACTATGGGTCCCCACCAGAAGGTGCTTTAGACTCATGGGGGACTTTCAGGACTTGCTTTGGGCCAAGCCATTTTGGGTGGACTTACCCACGAGCAGACGGGTAACTTCCCCTTTTGGTGTCTGGTTTGGAAACTATATTCTTTGTCTCTTCTGTACTGCACACTGATTGTATTAAAGTTACTTTCCATTAAAGGTCTGTATGTTTTGTCTTGATGCAGCAATGGCAGAACCTATTGAAAAAAGGCAGGTTTGGGGATTCAGGGCTGCCTCTCTCATTGCCCTGAAACAGAATCGGATCTCAGCCATTATTTATCAGAGGAGGTTTGCAGAAACATCCCTGGAAACTAGAGAAGTGGCTGCACTTACTCTGCAGAAGTGCCTGAGTCCATTTACATTTGTGTTACAAGTGCTCTGTTTACCAAACATACTAGGAGGCTCCCCCAGCAGCAGAAGGCTCAGGTAAGCAGACGGCACAGGTAAGCAGAAGGCTCAGGTAAGCAGACGGCACAGGTAAGCAGAAGGCTCAGGTAAGCAGA